CATTTGTTTAGTCAATTACCAAAATTTGGATGATTTTGAATATTCACTTGAAAAGTTATCAAAGAAAAACATTTTTCATTTTGTAACTTCGAGGGCCCGTAACTTGGTTACGAAGACTTTTAGGAAAAAAAGTTATATGAAGTACTGGTGATATTTTGACCCCATCTATACATTCCCGAGAGGAAAAGAGGAAGTCCAGGGACACCCTGTATATTCTGAAAAATGCAAAAAGAGGTACTTACCATCTTCTAAATCCGAATCACTATCGCTATCTGAGGAAGAAGAAGACAAAGAAATACTGTTATCTGAATCCTTGTCGTCCTTTTTCTTTGAATGTAACACTTTATCGGAAGAAAAATGTGTCCTGAATTGTTTAACAGTTCGAATTTGCACGCACTGAAATAAAAAAGAAACTTTTTTCATTACGTTTGACATTCATTTTTAAACGTCAACATTGAGTAAGTAGTACTTCTGAAGATAGATATATGCATCTTGAGTAGTTCAAATAAATCATATTTCGTTACAACATTACGTCATATTTACTCATTGTCATATGGACCAATGTCTTCGCGTCGCTTATCTTAGTACTTCACTCAATTTCAAGAGTAAAAAGATAGAGGTAAAATATGGTATATTTTTGAAATCAGGAAAAAAAGACCATTCCAAAAATTCAAGAATATACTGGGTGTCCCATTTGAAAAAAATATTAAAAAATTTGTATCTCCTGAAATCTGCACGCACAGCATTTTATCAGAATTTACTCATAAGCACACAACTTTCACATTTATTTTTTTTTCTGTAGGTAATAATAACGATGATAAGGGGAGGGTAATTTATAGTGAATAACCCTGTACATGCAGCATAGGAGTTTTTCGGTTTATAAACTGCCAATATTAATTTTCACTATATACTGATACAACTACGTATATAAATGTCTCATTATTTTGACATAACATGAATACATGTGAAATACATCAAATAATGTTAATTATACCAACCACCCTATTAAATTGCATGGAATATTTGATTTCACTGGTTATTGTCATGAATAATTTTAAGCTACTGTAGCGTCTATTCCGGAATGTTTCTTCAATCAACGAAGATAAAGGTTCTGCTCCTACTTCCCCCTTTCGATTTTCCTTGTGTTGTTGAAAAACAGTGGGATTTGCTAGCTTTACCGTTGAGCTAGCAGAAAGAAATCGAAATCTCTCACTGTTATGAATTTTAAGTCTCATTCATTATTCTGTTGAAAAATGTTGTGCTTGTGCTTTCCTTTTGAATTAAATATTTGAGTGATTGCCTCAGGCAAAGATGGCAGACAGACGCGAAAATAATAATGAAAAATGAGAAATAGAACTCTTTTACAACTTTTATTTGTAACGAATGTTACAAAGTCCTATAAGGACAATAAACTTGTTTGAATATGTCTTTATAGGAGGAAACTGCAGAAACATTAGTTAAAAATAAAACACATAGCGAGTTTTATTTCACATTTTTCATGATAATCTCCAATCATGTAGTAACTAACGGCTACATCCATCAAATGGGGAATGTTCCTCATGACGAAAATCAAGTAGTTTTCATAAAAGAGCTCTAAAACAACGCATTTTAAACTTATCATGTCAACCTTTTTCTTTAAAAAATTGGAATGAAATAATGCATTCAACATTTAAAGGGATTCGTTTCTATTTCACCATTTGGCAACATCGGTTAAAGCTAATAAACGTGAATGAATCTGTTACCTGTATGAGACAAACAAAGATGACATATTTCAGATGCGTGCTGTTCTGTTTACTTATGTTCCGAGTTCCGAACCATTCTGTGACATATGACATTTTGTGCACCTAATCTATCTTCCTCTATATAAATAAATAACAAAACAACTGTTGTTTATGTGGCTTGTGGAGGTGGTATTGAACTATAATTTATATTTTGTCTTAATTGTTGATTTATAAAGATAATTTTCCTTTTTCAAAGTAGAATATCTAGGTACGTATAAATTATTTCAACTTGATATAGGCGCTGTTGCCAATATGTGAATTACAAACAAATTCCTTTAAAAATTAAAACCCAACATTTGAAACATCAATTTGAATAATTTTCGAAGTGAATTTGAAAAAGTCATGAATAAAACTCAACTTTATTTTGTACAAACTTGCATTTGCTGTAATAACCCAAATTGAGGAACATTCCCCATTATTGCGAAAATAATTTTTTGGAATCATTTTTCGAATGTGGAGGGATAGAGGGATGGAAATATATTTTAGGGTCTTTTTAAGTTCCTATTTTCCCTTATCGATCAGAACTAAATTGAAATCCTTCACTTTTGAATTTGTAATAATTTGGTTTCCAGAAAATTCTACTTAAATCTAGTACGATTATTCAAATTTTATAAACTTGGCAACTTGGTGAAAAGTAAAACTGAAACCTCTGGCGTAGAATAAATCCAAGACGAGTACGGTTCCCAAACAGCAGAACTGCAACACTCTTCCCAACGCACTCCTAAGTTGGCGTTTTCATAAGATGAAGTCTACTTCTACTGAAGACGCCAAGTTGGTTGGTGAAACGTGCATCGAAAAGAGTATTCATCTCTGGTGTTTGGAAGCATTGCTTGTTTTGAATTTTCGATGTTCACGTAAGACAGTTTTTGAACGAACATTTTTCAATGCGTTGTCGTTGGATCGGTAGATGGGGTCCCGTGGAGTAGCCAGCTGAATCAACTGATTTCATACCTATGGATTTTTTCTGTGGAGACATCTGAATCTGAAAGTTTGGGATACGGAGCGTATAAATCTAGAAGAACTGCGACAAATAATTGTTAGAGAAAATTGAAAGCTGATCACGAACATCTACACACCTGTTTTTTTCATGCACATCACCACTTTCATAGTTTCTCAAAATCCCACCTTTTACTCAGATGATCTTTCTGCTTTCGACATATCTGGATTTAATACCAACTGAGTATGGTTGTAGATTTGGTTTTGCAATTAGACGCATCATCTGCAGAAAACAGTAACTAAAATATCTGCAACTAACAAGCTTCCGCCAAGCCACTCTTGAAGAATTGGTATATTAAATAAACTCTCTAGTGTCGCCCTTGAGAAAAGACACAATCATGGAAATCAGCATTGTCTCATAAAGGAGAAGAATTGAAAGAAGGACATTTTTATCCCGTTTAGATTAACGTTATAGTTGGGTATCCTATTCTAAATTTTTCAAATTATTTTTGCAATTTGGCAACACTGTTTTCAATTTTTCAATACCTGTCAATGTCAGTTTGACATTATGACAACCAATAAATGTTTGAGAAAGAAAGTTTTTGGCTTTCTACTACTCCATCTTGATACAAAAAAAAGGATGAGGGAATCTTCCAAAGAAAGGAAGGAAGTAATCAATTTGAAAATAAGTAACTCTCTAAGAAGTAGAAAGCCAAAAACTTTCTTTCCTAAAAATTAATCACTCCTAAAAATATAACCCTTTCAATTCCAATAAATATTCCTTTCAATGGCAATTTTTCGCATTTGGCAGGAATTAAATTCAGTTCAGCTTGACACTGTTTATAAAATTCTTAAAATTCCTATTCATTTTACATTTTATACAAAACTAATAAGAGTTCAGAAAAAATTATAACTCAATGCAAATGCAATAGATAAGTAGATTTTTGTAGATTTTTTCAGGACCAAATTATCGCCTCTCTTTTTATACGACACTGTACAAAATGAAATATACCTGAATGAAAACGACACTGGTTGTTTACATACATTTAAAAATAAAATCTCATTTGAATTTTGGCACAAAAAGTAGCGAAATCTTCAAACACCCATCAGATAAAAAAATTGACCTTCAAACTATTTCTGCCAAATACACTAGAAAATGACATTAAGAAATGAAATTGAACATTATTTAAGAAATTTGCATAGTACTAAATACTATATCAAAATTCGATATTAATAATTAACTCAAATCTCCTATCGGTATTATTGTAATTATATGACATTTAACACCAATTAAGTAAAAGTAAACAATCAGATATTGTGATATTGGAAAGTGAATAGGTACTATTACAGGCATACACATGTATACTGTTCTTCATATTTACATGCGAGAGTTATTGACCTCATATTTTTGAATTTAAGATAAGTAGGTAAAACGTAACCAAAATTCTCCAGTTTGCTGCAACTCGAAAAATATAACTGGTGACTGTCTTTTCAACACAAAAAACTTTTGGTGCGTTGTTTTGTTTTTTAAATACCTAATTAAAGTTTCAAAATTCAAACTGAAAACGAACTGCGGCAAGATAGCAACATAACCTCACACGTAAACTTTCATTTTCAAAACTCTTCACTCTGCTAAGAAACTTCAACCCGATCCAAAGCCCATAATAAAAAATACGCAAAAGGGTTTAACCAATGCGGAACAGGTGCTTGCTGCTTATCCAGAGGGATGACTGCCGTATTTCCGGGAATTACTCGCGACTTACTACATGAAATGTCAAAAATTCTGATAGGTTGTAAAGAGAAAAACTTACCTTATTTATTGAAACACTATTCACTACTGAAGAATATTTCGAAACCACAGAAAAGTCGTTGTTTAACAGAAGACGAGCACGACACAGCACCCTTGGTAGCGCCATTTTGAGAGGTACTGACATATCGTCTGCTTTATTTTTATTCCATGCTGCATCCAGTCTCATCCCCTACTGCGCAAATCGATTTCATTTTCCAAAATTCTCTTGAATTAGAATTATCTACTTAATGTATGTCAAAAAAGTGTATGACATGATAACAGAATTTCAATTAATGAATAGTTTCTGATTTAATATATTGTTTATAATTATAAATGTAGATACACTATCTATTGTTGTACATTTCACGGGTGAAAACTGATTAGGTTAAATTTTTTTAACAGAAATGAAAATATAAAAAGTGTGTAGGAAAAAATATTTTATGTAATTTCTTATATATTTAAAATCAACCCATGACTACAAAAATTTCAACAAATCTTTTCAAAAATGTATTACTGATGAGGTTAAATGTTTTGAACGAAAATAAAAAATATGAATTATGTAAAAAAATATTGCGTGAAATTTCTTATATTATTTAAAATTGATTCATGATTCAAAAAATGTCAACAAATCTTTTCAAAGATATATTACTCCTAACTGAAAATAATATACCAAAGAGAACATTGACCTGAAAAAAACTCAAATCTCAATTAGAAGAATTCCAGTTTATCACTCTGAAATGCTATGAAACAAAATGAACATGAAAACTGTTTTTCCTTTTCTGCATTTTTCTTGGTTTGTGGCCAGTGACCATAACATAATATAGCATAGCTATACCTACAAATGACTTTTTCTTCTCGTTGCTCTACCTGTTGGTAAGTAGTTGAAACTTGATACATTTCTATAAAACTGAGGCGGCAGTCCAGCAAATTCAAAATCTACAATGAAGCTTCAATCTTTGTGTACATAAATACAAAGCTACAATCTTTGTATATAGACCCTACGATCATGAAATTTCATTTCATTTGTGAAAATTATATTGGAGGAGATCTAGTGCATTTTGCTCTCACCAACCTTATTACAGATTTAGTTATTCCCGCCAAAAGTCTGTTGTCTCCGCTTGATATAAGTTGTGTTTTGTTGGCATCCAGGTTGAGTTATTCCAGTCAAAAGTTATACTTTCATCGAACAGAGAATGCAAATGATTCTTGACAGGAATAAGAGATCTCAGATGAAATTAGTGGGAACAAAAAACACCGAACAAAAAACACCTATCAGTCCAGAAGCCGAACAAGCTGAATCTTCGTAAATAATTTCTTTTGACGAGACACACAACTTTTCTTTTTTCGAAAATTCTTGATAATGGTAGCTCTGTAAACTGCGTAGAAGTCAAGTTTGTTGATGTTGTGAGTATAAAATTGGATCGTTAACAGTGATCGTAACAGGTATCAGTGACGAGGTAATAAAAAATTATTACCAAAAAAATTCAACCAAAATGACTACCTATTTCACAAAATTTTTATCGAAGCCTGATTCAAATTTAAGTTATTGAAAGTCATTAATGTGTGAGGCCACTAAAAATTAAAGGTCTACCTCCGTGAATTATATTTTCCGTAGTGTGGAAATGGGGTGCCTAAATTTATTAATCAGCTCGAAAATTCCGCCAAAACTGATAAAAATTTTTTTACTGATAGATTAATACTTCTGCCCAGTGTACTTCATCTTGTTTGGAACTTATGATAACTTTTTGAAATTTGTTCACTACTATTCAACTACTTCATCACTATTCGATGGAAATTATGAAAATAATTCATTCAATGTTTGTAATTTTTCTTTACGCGCCATCGTCCTGCTGAGCACTGAAGCCCCTCGACCCTGTAGTCTTAGAGCTTGTGCTAGAAAAATATGTACTGCGTGCAACTCTAGTTGACTTGGTTTTTTAATGAAACATGTAAACTGACACTCGTTTTAGCATTGGAATATAAAATGTGTGTACTCGTCTGAAATTGGTTTTTTCAATGGAAAACGCAATACGAAAAACGAAGACAATGTTTTTTATTTTAAACTACTTCGGTTACAAGTGATGCAAATACTACTATTAAAAGTACACCGGAAATCAGTTGCGACATTGTAATATTTGAAATTATTTACCAACTAATATATTCTTGTTTTGATAATTTTCTAGAACTATCGATTGTGCAAAAACACATATTCCTCTTTCTACTTTCAGTTTTCCGTGAAAAATTCTTTAGATATTTCGAGGGAAAACCCAATTTTGTAATGTTTTGAAAAAATTAACAGATGATATTTCAGTAATTTCTATTATGTATCTTCTTCAATTCATTTTATGTTTTAATTGCTTCTTCCTCGATATGTTTCGCTTTCTATCAAATATCAACAAAAAATATAAAATTCGAACTGTTCCAGTAGGCAAGATCCTTATTTGTATATATCTAAATTCAATTAGGAGCTTCAATTAATTTTTATAGAAGCAGTGTATATAGGGAGAAAAATTGTCAACACTGATTTCAACAATGAAAGCGCCATACACAGACAAAGGTTTTGATTTTAAATTTGTAGTTTTTGACACTTGACAGATTTGGTTAAAAAGTGCAACCGTTGATTTCTTCAAGGAATATATTTGATAATTCTCAATAGTTTATAAATAGTAAGTTCAAAAATAATTATTTACAGATGGGTACAATAATTTTGTTTTCAGATGGAACCTATGGCATTGGGAAGTAATCCATCAAGTCCAATATCTCCAGGAATCAACCCAAACTTTTTACCTGGTTTTCTCATGGGAGTCGATACTCAAGCAATACCACCAAATCCTACCGTATCCCCAGGAAGAAACAGAATTTCTGGCAGCTTTCCAAAAGCTGGGTTAAGCTCAACAGAACCCAGAAGTTTACGCCAGAAACTATTCAATCAAACACTTGTTGATAGTCCGACGGCATTATCTTCATTCGCTGAGAGGACTGAGAAGACTGGTCCACCAAAAACAGGCCTTTTTGACAGCTTTGAACAGAAAAAAAGAGCTAGCCCAATCATGAGCAGTACTGTTGCACAGATGAACGATACTATGGGTTTTAATGAAAGTATTTCAAGGGTGAATGAGGACAGTATGAATTATAGTCGAATGGCGAGTATGAATGAAAGCAGGATTAGAGCAAACAGCATAAATTCAAGTCGAGGAGAGAGAGTTGACTCACACTGGGTTACAGTGTTTGGATTTCCACCAAGTGCTCTCACATTGGTTTTATCTCAGCTAGCTAATTTTGGTCCAATTGCTGACAAAAAGGTGCCCCCACATGGCAATTGGGTTCATGTCAAATACAATAACCTTAGTGAAGTAGCGATGGCATTATCATTGAATTGCAAGCTGATAAATAACAGTATAATGATAGGAGTAACACTTTATTATAATAGAGATGATAAAGAAAACGAAAGTACAATTTACACTTCACCAATTAGAGCTAGATCTTTGAGACACTCCTTTATATCACCAAGTCATCCTAACTCTGTGATTTCACCCCAGATTTTACCACAGAAATCAACAGGCATTGTAACAAAAGCTATGGAGTATGTTTTTGGGTGGTAGTTTTATATTTGTTCTGTGCAAGCGCTCAGGAATTCTTGCATTTATAATACAGCGGAAAATATTTTTTGACAGTTGTAGAAGTGAAATTATGGAATAGTTCAATACAGGAAAATAAATTTCTCTTCATTCTTTCTCGATGACACATGAATATATGATCACTTGTAACTGATTATTAACACATTGAGTGATATTCAAAATTGATATTTACACCTAAGAAGCATCTGGAGTCTATTCATTATCAATCTATATAGAATAATCACAAAAAGCAATGTTTGAGTACCCCATTTCTACATAGATTTGTGGATTACAATATCACTGTATGATCGCTAACAAGTGATATACAAAAGTGTACAAAAAATATGAAATTTTGCAAAATTTTAAACAGGTCTATACATTATAGTCATCACTATTGTATTCTGTTATTGCATTTATACAAATATTTTTTGTTGGGCATATCCTAACATCGTTTTTTCTCAAATGTTCATGAAAAATTGTGAAAATTCTTGTATTCTCTTTCATTTTAACATATTACTTTCTAGTGTACTCAGGACTGATAGTATTTTAGGTTGTGTAATGTAGGTTTTAATTTTATATTTTTGTTAATCAAATCTTGTATGACTTCGACAATAACATTAATTGAAAATAAAACAAATATCAAGATTCCATTGTTTTTTATGAATTTCCACATGTCCTTCAAATAATGTAATTTGTCAAGAGTGAAATTTTGTAATAACCTCACTTTAGTTTAAAGAAAAACCTAATGTAGCCACAGATCAGTTGATAATCTAAACGAATAGAAATATAATGTGGGGTCTACAAATTTTTCTGAAACTCGAGCGCATCTGTTGAATCATCAGTGCAAAAAGTCTTCAACTGATCCCGACATCCTTGCGAAGAGAAGCAGGTTGTTCAATGCTAGAACACTTTGTCTCTTTCTTGTTTGTGAAAACCTATATTCTGATTCCTAATAGTAATACTCATTATGTGATGTTTTTCGGTATAGTCCGGTTTATAATACTTCACCAGGTGCACCCTACTTTTGTATGCCTCTCAGATGCCTGAAGCATACATGATGACAGGCTTGAACATAGTGTTGTAGATCGTAACTTTATTCTTTAGGTTCAATTTGGATAGTCTGTTGTTCAGAGGGTACAGACTTTTGATCCTACCCTCGAACTTTGCCTTCACGGTTATGATGTGTGCGTTACCTGCTCTTGCCAGTCGATCTCCCTTCTAGAGATCCTCACTTTTCTGGCCGGAGAAGATATCGTTCTTCCCATAGTTATCGCCTGAGTCTTGTCAGTGACCTCGGAGGTCACTGGTGTAAAGAGAGTACATCGTGGTGGGTTACAGGTATCACTGGGGATACCTGATATAGTTTACGCAATGGCAGCGGCTAAGTTGCCTGGAACATGCAACATCTAGTCATTTCGAAGGGAAATCGTTTTAAATATGAATCAGTGGTTAAGAGTTTTTAACGGCGGAAAATGTCCCGAAAATCAATTATTTGTCGATCAGTTCACAAAATGTATAAAAGAGTACTGCTACGTCTACTTCAAATGAAAATTCAATTTCAAACAATGCTTTTACGAAAACGATTGAATTACAGAAACACATTTCATCAGCAATGAAAAAATATGACTAATACTATTTGAAAATTGGACTCATGTGCAAAGAAGAATCTCACTACACAGGGCCACAGTGTTATATATTCAGATGTACCCGCAAATAAGCGCGATGAAACAATGAAACCAAACTTAACAGCGGGCATTTTATACTTTGAAGGGCTAGGCCGCCAGGCAGAGGTGACACATCAAATGTAACACCGACTTTTTGTCGATGTTATGTTATTAGTTCCGTGTAATAAAGGGCGAACCTATTGTCACATATCGAGCACAATTCCAGATTCCGTGCTACTACTGAGAAGTTTCTAAAAACCGAAAAATACCCCAATTATACTTATTCGAGACCCCGAGACAATAAAATACCTAATTTGTTCTATCTAATGCTAAACATATGATCAATTTCTTATTAATAAAATTCCTATCAATATCCAGTTTTTTAAAGGGTTCGCTGTGGTCTGTAAAATCTAATCTGTTTAAAATCTGTTTTAACCAACTGTCACACCCCTGTGAACAACAACCCTCATAAGTCAAATCTTGTGCGAACTAAGGACTAACGAGGTCTTACCTTTTAACGTGTGATTTCTAACACAGGGAATAGATTACAGCAAATGGATGCTAAGATGTTTCTGTGTCACATTTCAAGTTCAAAGTTGTGAATAGTATTTATTGTTGAAGTTTTGTTTCAATTTTAATATTAAAGTATTTTAATATTATAAGTATGCCATTCAATGATTCTCAACACGGAATGGTCTGAGGCTATGCCTCATGAGGGCTCAATATGTAAACGTAGAATGTGTACATCTGATTCGACTTTTAAAAAGTACTTGATATAAGTACATTTTCATATTCTGTATGTTACCGAACCATGCTTGAAATAAATTCACAAAAGGAAATGTTTCATGAAGCAAACTTCTTCCTAATTTAGAAAACTACACTATAATAAAATTTTTTGGACCAACAAAATTTAAAACATGTTATATAATTAATTAAAAGGTATAAAATATTCACAGTTTCGATTTACTTTCTGCCTAAATGAGGTCTTTAAACTAACCACACTACCAATTCTAATGAGTAAAATCTTAACTCCTAATTTCAATCACTTTAATAAATAATTGAAAATATATTCATTTGGGTTCTTCGATAGTTGCTGTAGCAAGATTCGTCATTTTTGGATATTTATAGTTTTTTTTGGTCAGCTTTTCTTGTGCCCAAAGAATTAGTTTCAGCAGGGTAGATATTTTTGACGTTGTAGTTTCTTGGTGTTCCATTTTGAGGATAGCAGCATTCACTTCACTAACGACCTAGAAATTGACATGAATTAGCAAATTCCACAATCACTAACCGAGTTTTCAGCTATTTGCTTAAACAACTTCTCTGGAGATTCAACAGTTCGACCAAAATATGTAAATTATGTCAGATTGAACCTGGAAGGTCATACAGCTGTACGCAGATGATACCATTCTGTTAAACCAATCTGTTCATAACATCAAAAATTACATCAGCTCAGGCTTAATATATCTATCAAATTGAGTCATCAACCACAAACTGGCATTGGAGATAAAAAAATAATCATACATGAGCATCACAAAGAAGAAACAATACATTAACACATCATTAAGTTTCGAGTCTAGTGAAATAGGAAAAAAAATTGCCTCCTGCAATAGAAATTTTGAGAAAACTGGGATTCTATATTCCAAGACATCTACTTTGTTCATGATAATTTTCACTCAGCCATAGTCACTTCCAATGTTTATGTCCTATGGTTTGGTAAGTATCATAAATATGTGAATCCACTGTCTGTTCAAAAAATAAGATGAATTTTAAAACAAGGAGTTCCAGAAGGCTCTCCGTTATCTCTAATTCTCTGTAATATATACTGCCATGATATATACAATCACAACTTGGAAGACAAGAATGAATTTAATGAAAACCTTTACATCTTACAGTGTGCAGATGACACTGTTTTAGTTTCACACAACCACACAGAACAACGTTCTGGTTCAATAAATGGAGATTGAGACCAAACCCGGAAAAATCATAATTTATCATTTTTCATCACAACCCTTCAGAGACACTACCAATAATAAACATCAACAACGAAATGGTAGAAGCAGGTTATCAGTAAAATTCTTGGGAGTTAACATTGACCACAAAATCAACTTGAACAGCCATACAAAAATGACTAAAAAGAAATGGATCAATAGAGGAAAACACTTTCGGAGTCTGACATTTAAAAATCAACACTAAAACTCCAACTACAGGCATTATGAAGGAAAGAGTTGAAGGACAACCATCCAAATTCAAATACCCGGAAAAAACTATTTGGGAAGTAATGAAATTCTACTTATATATCATATATTTTTTTCAGACATGTTTATTAACGGTGAAGAAAACACATTTGAACCAAATCACTCATAATTTATAATTTTTTTTTGTTAGAAATATAATATACCTCAAATCTATTATGTAAGCATATGTAAAAATCACTGCAAATATTCAATTGTACACTGGCTGAACGACTTCCGTCGATGGCCCTTTGGTATTCACCAATAAGCGACATTTATTATTATTATTTATTTTTCTCAAAATTTATTCGTTTATTCATCAATTTCTATTGTGTCCGCTTGCGCCAGCTTTTGTTTTCAATCCTCAAAACAGTTCCGCACTTTTTAGCTGAGATCTCTCAACGATTCAGTTTTCATCTCCGCAATCGTCGCAAAACACCGTTCTTTCATGGGTCTCTTCAATCTTGGTAACAGGAAAATGTTTCAGGGGGCCATATCTGGTGAATACGGTGGCTGAGGTATGATTACGGTGTTGTTTTTGGCCAACAAATTACGAACAAGAAATGACGAGGGAGCACCTGCATTATAGTGATGCAAAAGCCCATTAATTGTTGTTCCACAACATTTTTTTTGTATTGCTTGTCGCAAACGGCGAATAACTTCAAAATAATACTTTTTGTTGACCATCCATGTGGCAAGAACTCCTGATGCACTATGCCTGTGTAAGAAAACTGGGCAAAACCTATAAAATCGAACTTGGCGTGCTTTTTTGGCTTGGTTCTCCTGGGCTCATCCATTGAGCCACTTGGGCTTTGGTTTCAATATTATAAGCATATTATCCATGATTCGTCACCAGTCATTACCCTTTCAAGCAAATCTGGATCGCCGTGGGCATCATTCAACAATTCCTGAGCGTGATAAGCTTGTACAACTGGTAAAATTTTTTCTGACTACTCAAGAGTACAATCACTGTATGCTACTGTCAACACTTCAAGTGTCTTAGAGCACTTAAGTTGATTTTTCACCTAAAATTTGATGTAAATCATTGGATCCATTTATTCAATAACAGAAAATTGCCTAAAACGCAAAACAGTAACTTTTATGCCTCTCACTAACACACTAAACCCAAGAAACTGAACATATGTTCGAGACAAGTGTACCAACATAAAAAAATCGCTTATCGAATGTACCTAGCCCGCGAAATTTGAACATTCACCTTATTTTTTGAACAGTTCACGTACACCAAAAAATCAGGTTTTCTCTTAGAATTCATACAACACTAATGAAATTAATATATACACCCATGACACCTTGAGATATATTTTGTATGCTGTAGAGGAATTATAATTCATAACTCTTTACCTCATTCAGTAAAAAGATAGCACCAACAAAAAATTTACGAGGTCATGAAAAATGTTTCATTCAGTAAAAAGATAGCACCAACAAAAAATTTACGAGGTCATGAAAAATGTTTCGTTGTTCAGGAAATGTGTGAAAATTTGTATGTGTGTGATGTGTATCAATTAGTATAACAAATTGATGGATGTAGCCGTTACTACGTGGTAGGAGATCACAATGAAAAGAGAAATGGAAATTTATATGTTTTTTACCACTTTTAATTGTAACTAACGTTACTGCAGTTTCGTCCTATATGGACATTCTCAAACTTATGCGTTTTATTGTATAAGTTTGAGAATGTTCATATAGGACGAAACTGCAGTATCATTAGTTACAATTAAAAGTGGTAAAAAACATAGAACTTTTCATTGCTCTTTTCGTAATTAGTATAACATTGTTATAATGACTATAATGAAATTTGATATACCATACTTTCATATTTCAATTGAAGGGGTTATATTTTTTAGGAGTGATTAATTTTTGGGAAAGAAAGTTTTTGGCTTTCTACTACTCCACCTTGATACAAAAAAAAAGAAGGATGAGAGAGTCTTCCAAAGAAAGGAAGGAAGTAACTCTATACATGGATGTGTAGATCATGCAAAGTAACTTTCAGACACAAACTGAAAGAAAGTCCTCCTTTTTTTGTATCAAGATGGAGTAGTAGAAAGCCAAAAACTTTCTTTCCCAAAAATACTTTCATACTTCAAGCCTAAATATTTTCGTTTCTTGTTTCTTATCGATTGAGGTACTTTTCTTTCTCTCTCAAGATTGAATACACACATCATCAATTGATATTCACGTAAAAATGATTGTACATGTTTCAGTCCGCTTCTGGTGTTTCATGATTGGCAACACTGATATTCAACACATAATATTAAGAAGACATGTAATTATTGTGATTTCTTTGAAAAATTTTGAATCTTATCACATTCAATAAAATTATTCATTATTTTTGTTATACAGCACCTGAAATTGATACTATGAAGTAAAATATATTTTTCAATTGTCATTAGTTATAGTGCTAGGCAAATACAATAATATTATGTATATGGTGAATGATGTATGTGTGTGCATAAATGTCAATAACATAGTTTCCATTACACATTTTTTTCATTTTGACTCATGTTTAAAGTTTTGATTGCTGAATCAAGGGACTGAAGACAGAAATAGGAATGTGAACTAAACTTTCCAACTACCTTTATGTCTGTTCAGTTTCAAATTATTTTCAGGCAAAATTTATAAACTTATGGACTAACTAGACTTTTCAGTGGTATATATTACGCAGTAACTTTTTAGTTTACCGCATAAAACTTATTCATTTTTCAGATTGGGAAACACATATTTTCAGTAAATGTTTAATTTGGAGATTTTTCTTCTTACTTTTAGTAGTTATTTTCAAGATATATTGTTTTATACCCTCATACTGCTGACATAAAAAATATCTTAGAAAGACAACAGAGTCCAATATCTATCTCTATAGAGCAAATAAAAATTGGGTAACAAAAGCATAAGACGAACAGGCAGATAAATCAATGATTTTTCTAAAATTTGAAAATTATTACTCCACCTTTTGTCTATGAGATGGGGCAAGCAAATCACCGAAAGGACAAGTCAAAGGTTCTTCAAAAGCCAAAAGAGCAACTGTTCTTTCCAGTTCAGATAACACAGATGGGTTGTCTTCCCCAGCTTCACTCAGATGACTTTGGGCAAAGGCAAGAGCTTCTTCTATCCTATTATTCCTGATAAGTTCAATTAGATGGAGTTGCTGAAAAAAACATTCAAATGAGAAAATAATGAAAATCAATCCATTAATATGTAAGTTAATGTTTTTTATCTAAATTCTCCTTGAAAATATAATTTTCACAATATAAATTGTATTCAAGACTCGTTTCACTACATGGTAGTTTCATCGGTTGATCTTGTACATTAAACTAGTCTACAATGACTTTTTTATAACAGCAAGCAGTTAACAAATCAATTAGACAAATAATTAATTGTGATAAAACGGATACACACGAATAAATTTTCAAATATTTTTGTGGGCGAATAATGTACACAGCAATAAAGTATACCAACAAGGGCTGTATGTTGACTTTAATGTTAACAGAATAAAGAGGCTGGAAAAAATTACTTTTGGTGGTGTACCCATACATCAGCGAACATACAAGACATAGACTGGAAAAACACATTCTGTATTCAACAGTTTATAGTCAGAGTTGAATCATTTGTGTAAGACATCTGCTGTTTATGATAGAGAAAATTTTACAAGTCAAATGACAGTTCAGATCTCGATTGTAATATTTAGTCAGCTGTGTGAGGTGACTAAAGTGATGAAAGTGGAATTAGCTGGTCACCAAAAACTATGCTTTTGTTTGTAGCTACTTATGAGGTTAATGATGCATCTTTAACAAATATTTTGTATATTATCTCAAGTAGGGACAGTGTTCTTAGGGATAGTCTTTTGCGAATAGTTTTAGCTCACAGGTATCATTTAACCAGCTATACAAGGTATGGAAAACAATCATGACACACTGAAAGTGGTTTTCAATAACACTAAGAGACTTCAACATTTACCTGTAGATGAAAATATAAATGTCTATCATTATCCAGCATCTCAGGATGTAACTGGTTGATGAGGGCTGTGGCTTCTTGTATTTTACCAGTCATAATGGCATCTCTGATGCGAGTCCTGTCATCCAAGGAACGCAAGTCAACAGAGGGGACAATGCCCGATTCTTGCTGGAATTTTTCTGCAGCCTCCTGAAAACCTTCTAAAATACGTGTTAATATTTTTGGCCTATAATTAAGAATATCCCTTACCTGTGACTAGATAATTCATGATAAGTTTATTCATATCACTTTGACAGAGGTTGTCGTCATTCAATATTCGTAACCAGTCTTCCTTTGTTGCAAGTTCGTGTTTTTCACCGTAGCTCATTATCTAATGGTTTATTTGTTTTTGCTTTATAAAAGAAAATAATGACGATACCATCACAAAAGTCAAAACAACTACGACTGTGAGTTGTCAAAATGGCGTCAAATTGGCAAATACCTCAGAGTAATGATCACCAACATAACATGGTTATGTCGATGGTAATGACACAGATTAAATTTAATCTGTGGTAATGATATAAAAAATACGTATGTTCTTTGTTATTTCCAGGGTAGGGTCCGAAAGTAACCGGAAGTTTTGACAGCGGTTACCTAAAAAACCATGAATTGGTTATTTTCAGAACACATTCGATTTTCAGAAGCTTCTTCAGCTGGACTAGGCTAGACCAGTTCAACTGTGGAAGCATATGTCACAGTAGAAAGTTGATGCTATATATACTGTGCTACTGTTGTAGTGAAACGCATATTGAAAATAAATTCTATATTGCGAAAATTTGTGAATATTATTATGTATTAATAATTTCCATCAAAAAACCATATCAGTGTATTCAGAATTGAAAACGGGTTTTCCACTTTTCAGTCACGTACTTTCAATAATAGTCCATTGGTTATATGCTGCCTTCACACAATATTTGGAAAACAAGCTATATATTAGCGAATAGATCAACAGTACATATGATAGTGGACCTCATCTGACCTGGAGGAGTAATGAGCCTTTTTCCTGAGAATAGTACTGCGAAAGTGTCACGAGAGGCAGCACTATAGTAGTAGGGACAAACATAAAGCTATTCACATGTAAAACAGTATTTATTATTTAAAAATATAAATCTGATATAAAAAATTATTTTGTGCCAGTATAATGCCAACAAAGCATTGCTGTTTTGCGAATTGTACGTCGAAGAATCGATATCTGGAAGAAAACGTGTTTTTTTATACCATTTATAAAACCTCATATTAATGAGGTTAGATGTAAGAAAGGGATACATGTTTCGAGGAGAGTGGATTTAACAGTGCGAAAAATAAATAAATATTCATATGTATGCTCTAAACATGAAATGAATAGTAAATTTTTCATAATTAATTAATATTGATTAGAATGAGATATAACCTCAATCGTTTATTGAATTATATTCATTTATTATATTTAATTAAATTTATTTCATTTCCCTCTATATTTGATTCATATTTCAATCGGAAATAAATCTTTAATTCATAATTATTTTGAATTTCTTTTATCACAGTTTGAATCTACCGCTACTCTCTTACTAGAGTCTGTATTAATTCACTTTTTTCCAGTATTACGGCATGCAAGCCAATGTTTTAATGTTACAACATTGTTATCCTTTACAGCGACAAATTTTAGTTTTGCTCCAGGAACATCTTCTTCTGTTAAAAACATTCTTTTTTAATTGTACTTTACCATATGTTTACATGAGAATTAGGCAGTGTTTGTCCCTACCGAACTACTAGCGCCGCTAGTGAGTGATTTTTCGTACTTCAGGAAAGAGGTTCATTACACCAATTAGGAAGCTGAGCATTCACTACAGTTAATATTAACAAACACTTTAGACATTTGAACATAGGTAATGAACCTACCTTCATTTACACGAGATGTAGGTACTACATTAATAAGTAACTATGTTGAGAAATGAAATGCGTCTGGTTAAGAAAGTTGTCTAGGTCATCGGAAAACAAACTGGAAAGCCTACAAAGCAGACCTGGAAATTTATTTAGACTGGATATGTTTTGTGATAATAGATTTCACAGACTTGGAGTTAGCAGCAGACCGATTACTGGAAGCTATTATCTCTATAAGGAACATTGTCCTATCGTCAACTAGAGATCGACCAGGAGTGTTTCCTGGTTTAATGAAGACTTGGCACGGATGAGACAACAAACTTCTAAAAACTTCAACCAAAAACAACAAAGCTCTAAAGAAATCTAAGGATACTGTTGGAGAAGACAATGCGAGAAAGTCGAACAGACCCAAGTATGTGCCGGATTCTATATGAGAGACTCTATGGAATCTCAGGTCTCGATAAACAATCTTGAAACAAATACCAAGGAGCACACAAAAACAGGAGGAGGGGTCAGAAATTATAAATCTAGTCTGGAGTTCTGGAGGAATTTATAACTGTAGACTCCTAGAAGGGCGTTCATGGAGGAGTGGCAGAGTCAATGGAAAGTAATTGATTTGGAGAAAATCAAATAGGCCATAAACTCATTTCAACTTCATAAGTCGCTGGAGTCAAATGGCATTTGCTCAGTAATGCTGCAAAAAGGACCGAAATTCCATTCAAATAAGTTTGCTTATTGTATAATCTGACCCAAAGATTATAAATAACACAACCAGCGTGCAACGTTAGTAGTTTATTGTATAACATATATTAGATATTGTGAGCATGAGCACGGCTGTTTGTAGTCATGCCATGTCAACTGTCAACAAAACCCGCGTTAACCACTATTGCCCCGTGTTGCCAACTTGTAGTATCTCATATGTATTACAAGTTGCCTAACAGTGACAACTGTTTTAACACATTATATTACATCCTCCCCCATTACAAATTAAGCCGACAAGGCGACTTGATTCGACGACCAGACCTAGATGTCTTCTGCGTTTCTAATACAGGTTTAGGATTTATTTTATTCTGAATTGAGCCATCAAAGCTAGGCGTAATATCTACAAACTCAGGTTTTTGAGAAATGTAGGGCTGGTCGTTTGTATTACAATCTGTATTACTGGACAAAGGATCTTCTACATGTCTTGATGAAGTGGGTTCCTTTGTCGGTACAAATGTATTTAATGATTTTCTCAAATCAACTCGATTTCGTCTTACACAATTTCGAAATTGATCAATAATAATGTATGATCTCGGAGAGTCGCTAATCGCAACAATCTGACTAGGTTCCCACTTTTTCTGGACATGATTATAAACTGTTACATCACTACCTCTATTTAAAGGTCTTAAATCTCTAGAATTTTGATTGTATTGGTCTGTATGTGTTTGACGTTTAATTAAGAACTTTTCCTTTATGTTTTCACACAGTCTAGGCTTTAATAACTCTGCGCAAATAGGTATTTTGGTTTTACAAATTTTACTTATCAGAAGTTGAGAAGAGGAATTGCCTACGAATTTAAGGGGCGAGTTGCGATACTGTAATAGTGCAATCTCAATGTCACCACCAGACTCTAATGATTTTTTAACAATATTCTTTCCTATCCCTACCCCTTTTTCGGCAAGGCCATTGGAACGTGGGTAGTATGGGCTTCTGGTAAGTATTTTCGCAAACTCTCTGAATTCAAAACTGTTAAACGGTATATTATCACAACTCACAAAATCGGGAGTATATATTTTTTAAAGATTTAAATACTGATTTTATTGACTTATCTTTAATGTCACGTAGTTCCAACCAGTTTGAAAATGAATCAAAAACTACTAAATAACTCCTACCAGCAAAAGTAAAAATGTCGATCCCGAGCCTTTCCCAAGGGCGTTCAGGCATTAGGTACTGCATCAAAGTTTCTTTTTGTTGTTTGTTTGAGTTGGCTTCACACACCTTACACTTTTTTGTATGGTGCTCTATGTCATCATTCATGCCTGGCCAATAAAATATTTGACGGGCTTTGGATTTCGCTTTTTCTATGCCAACATGGCCTTCATGTAACCTTTTTAGCAAATCAAAACGAAGGTTATGAGGTAATACAATTTTGTCAGACAAAAGTAATAGTTCATCAACAAAACTTAAACTATCTTTTATTTTGAAATACTGTCTGGCGAAGTCAGGTACATCATATTTATTCTCAGGCCATCCATTAGAACATAAGTCAGATACAATTTTCAACTGTAAATCGTTTTCCACCTCATTTCTAAGTTGACTTTTTCGCTCATCGGCCATGGGAATGTTTTTTTGCCGAATGTACGGCGAAATTAAATTCTCGGCCTGACTTTAGACCTACTTCACACAAAAATGCCCTGGATAATGTGTCAGCAATAAACAGATATTTTCTTCAAGTAATCTCAGCCTCATTCTTTGCAAGCGTGGTGAAATACATGCCTGATCTTTTTTAAATATACTCTCAAGTGGTTTATGATCTGTGTTAACTTTAACTTTTAACCCATGAATAAAAAAATGAAATTTTTGTATCGCGAACACTATTGCCAGCATTTCTTTTTCGATCTGCGCATACTTTTCTTCAGTTTTACTAAGGCTCCGCGAGGCAAACGCAACAGGATGTCCGTCCTGTATGAGGCAAGCACCTAAGCCAGTATAATTTGAGCTTTGGTCATCAATTTTTATTTGGAAATAACCATCTTTCATATCAAGACATGTAAGATATTCTTTATCACATAATTTAACAGCAATCTCCTCTGCTGTAGGAATTAAATAATGTTCTCGTTGTATAGCTTTGTTTAAATGTTTAGGGTCTAAACATAACCGTAGGTCACCGTTGGGTTTCTCAACTTTGACTAACGGATTCAGCCACTCAGTAGGTTCATCAAGTTTTTTAATTATACCCTGAATTTCTAATTGCTCTAGTTTTAACTTAAGCTTATCATGCAAAGATCTTGGTACTCTCCTGGGTGGCTATATATGTGGTAAAGCATCACTTTTTAAACAGATTTTATGTTCCTTGGGAAATGAACCCAGGCCATCACTTTACACTTTACACTTTAGTAACATCATCTAAACAACTGAATACTAAATTTGAGTTTGAACTAATACTTGCTAATCGTTTAATTAACCTTAACGATATACAACCTGGTAGCCCGAGTAAGGGTAGTTGTCCTTCAGCATCCACAATAATAAAATGAACAAGAGCTTTATTTCCATTTGCCACACATGACAGTACTTAAAAGAAATTTTCTCTCTCTCAAGTTCATCACGTTTGTATCTAACTGTATCTACTTGCATTTCACTTTGCAGTACTCCAGCTTGTGATTTACTTACTTCTGTAGCTCGACAAAACTCTATCCAGGGTTAATCTGCTTTCTCGAAGCAGTCTCTCCTGCGTGGTCTTATCCCAAATACCCATGACAATTGTTTTAACATATTATATTACACTCCTCATAGCAAGTTCGGCTCTGGAATATATACCAAAAACATGGGAGAATGATTAGGGTTACCTTCAGTCCAAAGACATTGAGGTATTAAATCAGATATGTGTTTGGTTCTACACCATGGTTTTCAAACCATGATAACATATG